TTTTCGACTCTGGCTTGAGGGGTAATTAATAGGGCTGGGGTAGTTATTTGAGAGAGGGAGATTATTTCAGCATTTACGGTATATGAATTTACTTATTTTATTGCCAACATAAATAATTCTGCTTTCTAAATCTTTATTATATTCAACTTTTTGTTTTTCTAACAATTCAATTTTATATCCAATTAAATTAATTTCCGTCCAATAACTTGACAAAAGTTTGTTTTTATAGGATTCTAAATTTTCTTTTAATAAATTCTTTTTGTCTTTAATTGATTTCAAATCATTATTATTTATTTTTGTATTTTTTAATAAACTTTCATCTAATATATTTGTTTCATAATAATTATTATTTTTAATAAAATTATTATTTATGAGAACCTTAAATTTAGGACAAAGTTAGTGCCCTAAACGAAATAAGGATCGAATCGTTTTTTCTTTATTTTTTTTTATTTTCTTAAAAATGGTTACTTTTCCTTAGTAGTTTGTGTGTTAGTGTTTGCCTCATCTGGAGTGGCTCTTTTGCCCTATGTATTTTCTCATTTGCCATATTTTTGTCCTATTTTTACCATTTTATAAAACTTTTAAAATTCTAAAAATTTTGGAAACGAAATGTCTGAAAATGGAATAAATCTATCTTCAAACCTTACAAAATTCTCGAGTGGGATAAGGGGTTGGGGTGATTTAGAATTATTAATAGAATCAAGTTGTTAAAGAATGAGGGATAGAAAGAGTTTGCAAAAGTTTAGCCACCGGGCAGGATTCGAACCTGCGACCACCTGCTAGTTGTTGCTAGGCTTTCGCTCACTATATGCAGGAGCTCTACCGTTGAGCTACCGGGGCATCGACTAATGCTTTCTCTTTTTCCTTTTTAGATCGTTTATCCCCCGCCTAAGCGTTTTAAATGCTGCTAGGTGAATCATCCTTACAGGATTAAAGGGGTTATCGAAGATTAGAGGATTCCCAATCCCAAAATTTCCGAACATCATGAAATACCCGTTTTCCAAATTGAGGCGACGAAAATTTTTGTATAATTTCATTATTGGCTATTTCAATAACAATTTTCTTTTTCAATTGAATTTTTGGCTTATATTTTGAATTAGCATCATTATATATTTTTGTAATAAAAATATTTTTATCAATGTCTGATTTTAATTTACGCAAATTTTCAATTTTATAATTTTGTGTAACATAGGCACTCTTTTTATTTTTATCAACAGTTTTCAATACAAAACGTTCTTTTAACTTTTTTAGATAAATAAATTCCCTTTTTTCTTTCCAGTTATCATTTATTTTTACTCTAACTAATCTTCCGTTGCATTTTAAATTTAAATTAATATTTAAATATAATATAGACAAAATAATAAATTTAATCATATAAAATTAATTATAAAATAATGTTTAGTAATTTAATTATAATAATTAGGGATGGGATTTATATGAACTATTAATTAAAAAATATGGACATATAATATGGACTAAAAAATATGGACTAAAATATGGATCAAAATCCAAAATATGGATCAAATATAGACCGAAAACTGAAAATTTTTACCGGATTTTCAATTTTAAGCAGAAAATGTCAAATAAGTTAATTTTGAAATAAGTTAATATTGAATTTGACAAATAAATTAATTTATCGTAGTTTTCTGTTTACGAAAATAATTTGGATAATATGTTTATAGGTGGCCAATTACTTGAAAAATTTTTGTAAAATTTTTTGACAAAATTTTTCGAAAAATTTTTTTTAATTTTTATAAAAAATTTTTGACCAAAAATTTCATAAAGTTGAAAATTTTAATCAATTTTTGGCAAAATTTTAAAAAATGACGAAATATGGATAAAATATGAAAATATGGACGGAACTCCAATAATTGAAAAATATGGATTGATAACTCAAAAACGACCTTATCAACATATACTAAAACAACGTTTTTCGTGCGTTTCAAGATCCAACTAGGCCAGGAAAAAATGTAAATAATTCGAATGACATATAAATCGTCCAATTCTGAGCCATGTACGGAAACTGTAGTTAGGCCCCTAGCTGCGTTACTCTATTTAATATTTTAATCGTGGATAGCAATTGATTATTAAAGTGCGAATATATATAAAAATAAGTCGGCAAATTTTATTATGTAATATTTCTTTAATCTTTTTTCAATAAAAATATAAAAGTACATAAAAACAATTTCGAAAGAATCTGCTTTTTTGTTTCACGTGAAGTCTGTTAAGTCTAAATTATGATGCAAGTAAATTTCTGATGTTGAACAGCGTGACCTTTTGCCTTATTTGGGAGATATTAAAGAACATCTTTATTTGAGTCCCCTTTTATGTTTTCCTGCCGCCAGATTCCCTATTTTTTATATTTTAAAAGAGGAATATTCGGTTAGTTTTCTATCATCTTTATCCAAAAATAATTGTAGTTTTTCATCAATAATGTGCCTTAAAAACTTGAATTAAATTATCAAAAGAAGAATTTTTTCAGGCATATAATTGTGAAGCATATAGCTATCAATTTCCTAAGGCTGAGCAGTAGGCGGAGTGGTGTAATGGCTAACACATAAGTCCGGTCTACTGAAGATGCTGGTTCGCTCCCAGCCAGACATGCACGAAACTCCAAAATTTTTTCAGACGAAACGAAACGAAACAAAATTTTTTAAAAATCGTTTCGTTAACGAAACGAGACGAAACAGTAAAAATTTAGCGAAACGAAACGAAACAAAACGAAACATTTTAATTTTCAAAAAATCTAATAAAAACGGTTTTATTTTCTTAATTATTCGATTTTAAACACGTTAATATGGCCTATAATTGATCTAATAGCTTAGTGGACCTTAAATTTTGGTCCCAGGCTACTCATAATCCACTATATCAGCCTTAATTCCACCAAATCGACTTTAATCGAATTATGTGTTGAGAATATGTGTATATCAGGGACCTGCCGACCCGTTTCCTGATTCCCTAAAATCGGGAATTAATTTTGTCGGAAATTATTGTCCCCTAAAACCGTTCCTGATTCCCGACATTTTTAAAAAAATTTTAAACCCTCCAAATCCACCGATACATCGTTTACTCTCTCCCAATTTCCTATACCACCATTGCTCCCGCCAAATCCAATGATATTTCTCAACTCAGATATTTTTGTTAATAACAACGCCCATGATTAGGGTTGCCAAAATGGACCGACTCGGACCAAAAGATAGAGTCGGGCTTAAGATATTTGGCCCGAAAAGACTCGTCTGGCCCGACTCGATAGAAACAGGCCCGAAAAAAGACAACCATATTCATGATCATTGCCATCAGTTGCGTTTTCGTTTATTGAAACTAAACTTTATTGAAACTCTTGCGCCTGCCCTGAATGGCATTAAGAGGTAGATCATATTAAAAAAACAAAATCAAACGAGAAATTCAAAAAAATATGGTAAATTATGCGCCATAGGCGCTTAAAATCCAGATTTCAGCGCCGCAGGCAAAAATTTTTTGAATTTTGAGCATCAAAGGGGAAAATTTTTCAGTTTTTGGGTAATATTTTGGTCTAAAAAATGGGTAATGTTTCGTTAACGAAACACAGGTGTTTCGTTAACAAAACGAAACGAAACAAACTAAAAAGTGTTTCGTCACGAAACGAGACGAAACAGGAAAAAACATAACGAAACTAACGAAACAACGAAACGAAACGAAACGTTTCGTGCATGTCTGCTCCCAGCCGCCGAATAACCTTTTGCTCTAACTAAAGGAAAGAAATAGCTATAGCCCAGCTGCTTTACTTAATCTTCTTACTATTGACCCTGATTTGTTCAATATAGTTTAACCTAGCTTTTAATTAAAATTTTAATTATTTTTAGTTCCCCCTTCTTTGCAACCTTTTTGAGAGGCCATTCCACCTTTTGGTGATTTGTAAAGGGCTGCCCTGATATTCCTCTATGTATAATTAATTTCAAAATCAAATTTATGTTAACCATTAAAGTTAGAAATGGTTTATGTAAAGATTAACTATCCAGTATATTCCTCACCTGTTAAATGCTTAAATTGAAATAATTAAAAGTATAATTTAATTTTTTAATTATTTTTATTTTTTATCTTTTATTATTTTTTTATTTCACTCTTCTCTTTATTTTTCTTTTCATTCTCTTTCCTTTACTAATCAATTTTTGCTTAGCGTACATTGGACATATTTTTGTTAGTATTTTTTGTTGAAAGTAACTAAATAGTAGAAGTAATATGTACTACATATTTGTACTTTTTTCAACATTTTTATTATTAATTTATTTTATTTTGTTATCATAAACTATTTTAATAAATCTTTTTCATTTCTATTTTTTAAATTAATTAATTAATTAACATATGTATATTTATTGAGAAACAAAATTTCGATAGAGTTTGCATTTTATTTTGTACAACCTACATACAGTGCTGGAAAAAAGTATTGCACCAAAGAGTCCATATCACAGGAAATGATCACAGAAATTTTTGGAGAATTTATGGCCAAACAAACATCAAGTTATAGATGTTGGTGCAATACTTTTTTCCGCAACTATTTTGGGTGTGCATACGGAAAAGAAGTTTTGAAAGTAAAGATTTATTAAACAAAATATTTTTAATGCCTATTGAAAGAGGACATTCTATTTTATATTTTAGGAATAAAAGATATGATAAGAAAAAGTTTTTTTCAATAATTATGGGGTTTTAAATAAAAAATCACTCTTTGGTGCAATACTTTTTTCCGGCACTGTAACTCGTTTTTTTATGTATTTAAATGGAGATTATTCTATTTGCTAAAAAATAAAAAATTTTTTTAATTTAAATGAAAATTTTAACTGAAACCCCTTTCAAAAAATAGCATTTTTAGAGAAACATGTTTAGTTTTTTGACCATAACTATTTTTCAAATTTTAAAGAAAATTTCGTTTTTATTTTATTTTGTAGAGAATTTAATTCCCTTTAGATCTTGTAAAAATTAAAATAAATTATTTATTTTTTTTTGAGTTATTAATTTTTAGTTAAATGAGACGTTTAATATTTTCTTCTCTTTCAAATTATTTTTATTTTGGATTTAATTATCCTTCTAATATAAATAAATGCAGCATTGTCACAATTCGGAAGACTCATACTAAATGTAAATTTAAAATAAAATATTCTGAAAACAAATTTCCTTTTAAAAGTTGTCAGTGAGGAGGGAATAATTCGGTCAGAGTTTGTACCTGTGCCAATAGCTACAGTACCTATACATGACACACTTTTGGATGCTATTTGGAAGCACTCATTGAGACAACCGGGAAAGGCTGCATTTGTAAATTAATTAATTAAAAAAAAAAGAATTTTTGTATGTAAAGTCAAATCTCGGTATAACTAAATCGAAAGTATCGGGAAAATATTAACTGTTTTGGGAGGTTTGTTAAATCGAGGTTCGACTTTAGTAAAAAAACTTTGATTTAGTAAAGTCACACAAGACAATTACTTTTTGACAGTCCTTTCTTTCCCAGTTTTATAGAGTTAGAAAAGGAACCGGGATTCCTGTCCGGGCGATTACAAAATATTGTCAAATCTGGTTAGTACGAGATTATTCACTAAGTGCTTGTTTACTGAGTAACCATGTACATAAAACTTTCTTTTTTGAGGTTTAAAATAAAATTTGTCTATAGTATTTGTGTTTACTTGAGTTAAAATATTTTTAGATTAGTGCCGAATATCCAGAACAACAAATTACATTTGCAGAATTTTTACTCCAATGTCATTCTATTGCACAATTTTTAGATTCAATAGGAGTGGGAAAGGGAGAAGTTGGGGGTGTTGTTGTACATAATTGTTGGCAATTTCTTGCAGCGTTTCTAGGCGCTTCGATGCAGGGAGGGTGTATTAGTGGTGCTAATCCGCAACATAATGAAGGTAAATTAACAGAAGAAAATCTGTAATTCTTTATTGTCTATACTGTATTAGTTACTCTCTTTCAAATAATTACCCAGACTTTATTAATTACACAAGGTTACAGTTTATTTGATAGTTCCCAATAATAATTGCTTGAAGTTAAGTCAGTAATTATTTGTTGAAGATAACAATTCGTTTCATACATTTGATAAAATTTCTGATGCGAATTGCGATCCTATAGAAAAGCTAAAAAAAATCCCTTTTTTCTCGAATTTTTATACTTAAACCTTTCTAGATTCACAGTTAAAAATCTAATGTCTTCATTAATTTTTAAATTTTTTAAAGAAGAATTGGCATATCAATTCAACGAAACTAAATGTCGTGTTGCTTTCTGCTCTGACTTCTTATTCGATAAAATGAGAATTGTTATGCAAAAATGCCCTAATCTTAAGGTAAAGCTCCTCAGATCATAAAATTATCGGCATTGGTTGGGAAATGCTCAACACAGAGCTACATATCCTTATAAGAGACCGAGCTCTCGAATCAAAATTTCAGTTATCGTGTCGAGATTTTCAAGATCTCGTTCTAGTCCAGCACTCACGGTCCGGTCTCTATTCCTTAGATGTTTTAGGATTTAGGATTTATTTAGATCACGTTTGATAAAATTTTGTCTGATTACAGACAAAGAATAGCCCGATTTCATCAATCTATTTAACCTATTCCTTTAAATTCAATTAAAATTTAGTCATTTTTAAAAATTTTTTAGCATTTGGTGCTCATTCCAAGTCAATATCCTCCAATTTATCAAAATTCATTACCTCCAAACGTTCACAATTGGATTGATATTATCCAAAATCGACCTAATATTGAAAGAAAATTACCTGAAATTAGTATAGAAAAAGATTTTGCTTATTTGCCTTTTTCTAGGTTTTTCCTAAAAATTTTTTAAAATTCTTTAAAAAATTTTTAAGCGGAACTACGGGTCCCCCAAAAGGCGTTATGCTTTCTCACAAAAATGTTGGTACAATTCTTAACATTTTTAATACGTGAGTTTAATTGTTTTATATTTATGATTATCTTATCTAAAATGTTATTGAGTCTAATTTTGTGAGACTCTAAGCAAAATAGGTTTCTTGTCCAGTTTATACGTCCCGTAAAGTTGATATTGAATTCTCTTTGGTTTTTAAGTTTGGACTTGGGTCTGGACATTCTTTGCTTTTGCTCTAATCACGTTGGTGTCACTCGTTAGTTATTAATGAGTTTACTGTAATCTTTTGGAATATAGTTAGCCAAATTTTAATATCCGAAATAAAATGTTCCAGAACCAGGTCCACCATTGATAGACAAAATCCATTATAATTATATACTGGTCAAGAGCCTTAAAAATCTTGATATTCATTTGCCTTTATAGGTAATTTAACTATTTAGCCATTTTGATGAACGTGTATGTCACCGAATATCGTTTAATTGGGACTGGAAACGGGAATATACACTTTTAATGTTGCCATTATACCATAGTGAGGGAGATTTAATTTAAATTGGTTATTGAAATAATTTTTTTAGTTTACGGGTTTATTCTTGGTTTAAATTGTTTATTTACTGGTTCTACTGGTATTATGATGAAAAAATTTGATTTGGATTTGTATTGCAAGACTATTCAAGAATACAAAGTAAATGAATTAAAGATTTTGGGAGGGTGAAAATAAATGTGAAAAACCCCTATAGAAACTTTTAGGTGGTACTTATTGTTTTTTTTAATTCTCCCCTCTACCTCTTCTGGTTCAATATTTTTTATTTCTGGTTCTGTATCCACATTATTCACAATTTTTCTTTTAACAAATAACCCTTATCAAATAAACTCCCAATTCCATTTATCACATCTCAATTTGAAACAATATAGGGGAGGCAGCAACATAAAATCAAATTTTCATTTGAATAGGAGATAATTTTCCTCCTTTTCTGAAACTAGACTTAATATGTAAGAATTCGAGATTCTAAAGCATACAATTTGAGAAATTTCTAAACTCAATTCCAAACTCCCTCCCTCTCTCTCTCAGAGTTCAACATTTTCAAAAAATACTTTTCTCTTTTTTTCTAGCTCAAATATGCAACATTAGTTCCTCCAATACTTGTATTATTAGCAAAAAGTCCAAAATTAATTTCACGTTATGATTTATCTTCACTTCGTTTTATAATGACTGGAGCTGCCCCAGTAGCTGATGAAATCTGCACAGAAATTAAAAAATTAATTCCTTCTGTTGCACAAATAGCCCAAGGTTATGGAATGACAGAACAGTCAATGTGTTCACATTTACCCGTTTTTGGAATGGATAACCAAAAAGCTGCTGGAAGATTAAATCCAAATTTTGAAATGAAAATTGTCGATATTGAAAAGGAAATTACTTTAAAACTTGGGCAAGTTGGGGAGATTTGTACTAGAAGTCCAACTAATATGGTAGGAGTTATTAAGACTAGTACGGTTATAATGGTGATTCTAATATGGGGCTATGGCTGGTTTAGATAAAAATTTTCTTTTATTTTGAATAAGGACGAAATAAAAATTAAGTGAAAATGACATGAAAGGGCGAAACAAGGTGATACACATTTCGGGCAGCCCTTAGTGGGACTCAGGATTTTTAGCTAGGGTTGCTAGCCCGGTTCGAAAGTTTTTGGCCCGAAAAAATCCCGAACGGCCCGGTTCGATAAAAATGAGGTCCGAAGAACGTCGGCCCGGTTCGAAAACGCCAACTCTATTGTTGGAAAATATTAGGGACACTGTGGACAAAATTATTTTTTAAAAATTTTTAGCTTGGATACCTAAACAGGCCGGATGCAACATCAGAAACTATTGATGAAGATGGATGGCTAAAAACTGGTAAAATATGTACTAGAAACAATGTTTTTAATATTTTTTCCGAAAGGTGATATCGGTTACCACGATGAACAGGGGTGGACTTATGTTGTTGATAGACGCAAAGAACTGATTAAAGTTAAAGGCCTTCAGGTAGATTCGATTTGTATAAATTTGGAAAAACTTGAATAATGCCTGTACGAAGGCTGGCGAATTTTAAATATCCAAACACTGTTCTGTCGGTTCGAGACCGTAAGTTAACTCGAGATGCGATTTTCCTCCAATTTTCAAATTCCCAAATAATAACAATAACACAATACCAGAAAATTTAAAACATTTTTAGGTTGCTCCTGCTGAATTGGAAGGTTTATTATTGTCACACCCCGATATTAAAGATTGTGCTGTGATCGGTGTTTCTGATAAATTGTGTGGAGAGGTGCCAAAAGCATTTATAGTTCCAGATAATGATAAACTGACTCCGGAAATTGTCAAAAGTTTTTTGAAAGGTTAAACAATTTTATACGAGAAGGGACAATTCTTTTAGAGATTACTATTAACTGAGGAATGTGGGCCTTCTCATAACATTCAGTGCTTGGAAGCTCGTACCAAGATTTGTACTCGTATATTTTACATGGATTTGAAAGTAGTCTAACAAGTATTTCCCAAATTCTAACAGAAAATTGAAATAAGTTAAAAAAGCTTCGAGCACCGGGGAATCTTCAGAAGGGTATTTAGATGGCTTATTTAAACGTCTTTCACCCATCTAATCCCTCTCATCCTCCAACCCTACTTTCAGCCCTCTCATCCTCCAACCCTACTTTCAAAATAAAAATTTTCTCAATTTTCACTCATTTTTCAGAAAAAGTGGCATCTTATAAACAACCTAAATATGTTGAATTTGTCGAAATAATTCCAAAGAGTCCATCAGGGAAAATATTACGAAGACTTTTACGGGATAAATAGATAATTATTATTTTTAAATTTTATTTTTCACTTATTTGGAAATTTTGATTTTTTTGATTAATTTATAAAATTAAAATAAAATTATTTAACAATTTAAAAAATATATACATATTTAAAAATCATTGTTTCATAAATTTAAAATGGCAAATATGTAGAGAGAAAAAAGCATTTCTATTCCTTCAATTATCCTCTAGAACCTTCACCGCTTCTCTCAATTATCTAAAATTAATTTTGTTTAAATTTAAGAATTAATTGACAATTTAAAAAATAATTTTTAAAAAATTCATAGGCAGCTCTAATCTATCTAAACAAAAAAAATGGAATCTGGCAAAAATTCATAATTTCTGACAGATTTGGAATTTACTCCCAAAATGGCTTTTAATAACGAATATTGGACATAAATACTGGAATGAACGGGACGAGATCTTGTGTGATTAATCCATGAATTACGGAAATTTCGTTTGTCTCTAAGAATAAGGTATCGCGACGATCCCGTCCCGTGCTGCTCTATAACTCCGAAAACCAGAATCCAAATATTCGAAAAGATTTTCTTTGAATTTTTTTCCAAAATATTCTCTTTTACCTCCATTTTAACATTATTATGGTCCTCTAGCAACAAATCATTAAAATGTTGATTATTAGATTTAAATTGCAATCTAGTTCTTTCCCTCCCCGCAAGTTGAGAAGAAAGTTTTGATTGGGCATTGAAATATTCTTTTGGGTTAAATAATTCTAAAACAACATTTTGGTGTTTTTCTGAATGTTTTGTTGACGAGGATTGAAGAGGTTTTGTTGGAATGTTTGGATTTTTGGAAGGGGAAATGTTTTTGTTGTTTTGAAGAGAAGGGAGAGGTTGTTGGAATGGCTGTTGGGATGGTTGTTGGGATAGTTGTTGGGGTTTAGTGTTTGTTGTTGTTTTGATATAAACATTTTGTTTTGGAATTTCTTTTTTAATTTTTGTTGTGTTATTTTGTTGAGATGAAGAGGAGGATGTTGAGGAAACAAATTCTTGACATTTATAAGATGAGAGAATGTTTTGAGTCTAAAAATAAAGGGGAAATTTGTTAAAAATGTTTTGTTGGATATTTGTGGCGAGCGACTCTGACTTTATATTTTTAGATTCAAAAATCTATGAGAATAAATCAGATCTCGTTTTAATGTACTCTAATACATGGAAAGTAAAGTTAGGAAATGAAAAATAAGGCCAATAAAAGTAGGCGAAGCTAGATGTATCTATCAGTTGTTTCTATCAAATTTTAGCTCAGACTTAATAATTACATAATAATCTAGCTTTATAAGGTGTTACGACAATTGCGGATTAAAAAATTTTTTTTTAATTTTAAAAATGATTGAAATATGTTCCGTTTTTTAGTCCCGGCTGTCAGTTTCAGACTTGTGACGGTTTCCGAATCATTTTTAGACTGATATGGCACTTAAAACTTTAAAAAATCTTAAACTTTTTAAAAATTTTATATCCGCTATCGTCGCATCCGCACGTGCGTATCCGCAATTGTCGTACCGCCCTTTATAATTTGTTAGTTTATTAGTAAAATTTTATCTTAAAAATAGAATTTTCAAAGCTTTTAAATTTTTGAGTGATAAAAATTTAAAAAAATTTTAAATTTGAATTTTATAACAAAATAATTCATTTTCATTATTTAATTTTCAAAAATAAAAAAAAGATAATTACAGAATCGTGTGGAGCTGCTCCTCTTTTAATCAACACAAATTGAGAGCCAGAGACTACTGGTCTAATATTACAAGAAGAACTTATTTCTGAAGTCATAATAAAAAATAAAAATAAATTAATAATAAATATTCTAAAAAATAAAGAAAATAATTAGAAAAAATTTCAAAAATGGAAATTAAAATTCAATTTTGGGGTCTCTAAACAGAGTTAGATACTAGTTTGTCTGATCTATGCATATGTGTATTTTTTAATAAGAATGTGTATGTTAAGAAAAGACCAAATCAAGTTGCAAAGCCAAGAAATTTTAAAGAGCCAAATAGGAGGCTGTTGGGGTAAAAAACTTTAAAGCCCAGAGAAAATCCCTTAAACAACTTTACAGGATGAATAAACTCGGCAAGAGCCAAGATAATTAACACGAAAAATTTTTTTGAAAATTTCGACTGAATAAAATTTATTTTAACATTATTTAAATAAAAAATTAACTGTCAACAAAAAGAAAATTTTTTTTTAATTTTGTCTATAAATTTTTTTTTAACATTTTTAAAGGTAAATATACAAAAAAAGTCTCCTTATTAAATAAAAAATTAATTAATTTAAAAAAAAGTTTCAGAAAAAAAATTTTGAAAAAGTGAGGGAGAGAGTATATTGTGTTTGGTGGAAATACATAGAAATAAATATTTTATAGTGCAAGAAATAAAAAAAATATAAAAAAAAGTGTTGGGGAGGGGGGAAGGAAGGAAGTAGAGCGAGCAAAAAAAGGAAAGCGGAAGTAAAATTTTTCTAGTAGCGAGAAAAGAAAGAAGAAATGTGTAGTGGAGGGGGGGAATGAGGAAGTGGATATTTTAGAAATTGAGGGAAAAATTGTTAAAATTAAATAAATTGAAAAAAAAATTATTTATATTAAATTTTATTTAAAGAAATATTATTATAAATATTAGAAAGCCTTTACTTAATTGCTGGAGTAATTATTTCAATACTTTACTGGAGGAATTTAAGTAAATAGGTAGAGGATAATTTTTCAGAGTAATTTTAATCAAATTTTAACGGGGATGGCATTTATTGTTTAAGGAAGAGGAGGGTGGTAATTCTAATTAAGAGGAATTAATTGAGTTAAGAGGAAAAAAGTATTCATATTATAAAAAATCCTAATTATACGGTAGACTCCGTTGAGTGTCCTTATGTTGAGTATCTGAGTTTTATTCTGCCCAAAACTTTCTTTGAAATTCATAAACGTTTTTAGTAAATCTGCTGTCAAGGGAATTAAAATATCTTTATTCTCAATATTTGGGTAGGAAGATCCTACAATCTTCTAGAAAATTTCAGACAAATAAATATGGAAATTATTAGTCAGCATTTCTAACGTTTATCTTTTTAAAGAATTAACTTATCGTTTCGGGGCAAAAAATCAGGATATAAAATTTTCGAATAAAATAATATTTTTTTGAAAATGATTGAAATTAATGTTTGGTAAAATAAATGAAGTTTTAAATTTATGTAAAATAATGGGGAAGTATTTAAATTAGTGTGTAGTTTGTGAATTAATGAATTAAATATTTAATTTGATTTTTGATGAGGAATTTAATTTTGAATTAAAAAATTGTTTTATTAAATAAAAGAAATTCAGGTTTTTTAATATATTCAGTAAAATTTATAAAAATAAATTTAAAAAATAATATGACCTAGACATTTAATCTAGACATAAAAAAGGATGTGAGTTTTGTTTAAGTTTAAAATGGCGTGTTTAAAAAAGAAAAAAATATGTAGTAAATTAGTTAAATTATTTTATAAAAAATTTAAAAAGGAGAAGAATCAAGAAGAAGAATCAAAAAGAACCTTAATAATCAAAACCAAATATTTACAAGACTTGTCGCGATTTTCTGTAGTAATCTTAGAAAGAGTGCTGCAAATTAGAACAAAATATTGTTCATTTCTGATTTTACTCTGATGATTAAAACATCAAAATTAGCAAAATAAAAAAAGTTATGGTCACTAATATGTTTGTGGCCAAATTCTTTGGTTTTTAAGCCATAACTTTACTACATTGTCTTAATTTTGTTCAAATTTTATCGATAATTGGATTGTTTTTATGAAGTTAATTTTAAATAAATTAAATAAGTTAAATTAATTTCGATGTCTTAGGAGGTTTAGGGGGATTTAATCGAGAGAGGGCAATTATTTTAGGGAGGGACGGTAATTAATCGAGAAAATATAGTAACCAACCTCTTTAACTAATTTAAAGAGACAAATGTAAGGTTAAAATATTTACAATAAAGTTAAAGGGAAAATATATTCATTTAAGCTTATATCTAATGATTACGTTTTGTATTTATACCTTGCTAAAACATTTTCTATTGTACTTTTAAATTGTTTAAAAATATTTTTTTGGTAAAAGTAAATGAGGAAATAAAATTTTTTTATTTTCCATTTTATATTGTTTGACAAACAAACGATTGACGTGTTTGCCTCTACAGGTGAATAAAACCTCAAACAAAAATTGTTTTGTCACAAAATATTAGTATCAACAGTACTTAGGTATATATTAGTAATAGAAAAATGTAGAATTAAAAAATAGATAAGGAATTTTGAATAGATTAAACAAAATATTTGTAGAATAAAAGGTGAGTAATAAATAAATAAACAAGAGTTATGTGTTTCCGGAGTTATAAAAATGCTATAGATGTTTGAGCTCAGGCATTTGGGTCAGTTCTGGTTTACAGTACACTTAAAAAGCTTTGAAGTCTTACTATGCCTGTCAACAGCACCATAATTCTTATTTTAAATATTTTTGTATTTCGCGTGAGAAAAAAATATTTTGATAAAAGTAAATGAGGAAATAAAGCCTTAGTTTAAGTATACAAATCTAGAAATTTTTATTATTTAGAAGACCTTATTAAATACCTTATTCTCTAATAAAAACTCTTATTTTACAGATTATAAATATTTTACAAAAACCGGATTGACGAGTTAAACAGCGTTATGCTATAATGACGTTTAAGCTACTTAAATATATTTTACTTTCCAAAAAAATTTTTAATAAAAACTTCCTTTATTATTTGTAAAATTAAATATTATTTAGTTATATTTTGTAGAGAATTAAAAATAAAAAAGAAAAATTTAACGAAAATTGTTTAAATAAATAAAATGAAGAGATTAAAAAATATATGTACAAGTGGATTATTTTAACTTCCTCTTTTTTTCAATTTCTCTCAATAATGTTAATAACAAATAAAATATTTTTTACAAAATTTATTTTATTATTAAATAAAATTGAAAAATAAAAATGTTTCTTTATTTTTAAATTTAAAAATAA